TATAAAATATTGAATTAAGTACTTTAATACCAGAAAAGGATGATCTTTCTTAATTTTTTATTATTCACTTTCTTAGTTTGAATAAATGAATTGTAACTAGATAAATTAATTTGTTGAAAATAATAATTAATGAAATTCTTTGGAAATATTTAATGCTAAAAATGAATAATATATGTTGTTGATTCTAAATTTTTTAAAAATAATTTTGGAATTGTCTTTGAACATCACACTGATAATAATTATCATCTGTTAAAATTTTATATTATTCAAGTGTAAAATCTATAAAATAATAATAAATTACTTTATAAACATAAAAATATTATGAAGAATTAATGTATAAATCGCATAGATATTTAAAAGCACTTTATTTGTTTTTTCTGAAAAAATCTCTGAAATGTATATTATTGATTTTTTGTGATTGAATTATATTTGAAGTTGTTGCCTCAGATTTATATGAACATTTAAGTTTTCTTAAACAGTAAATGCTTTCTTATATTTGTATATTATCTATCTCATATTATTTGAAATTATTATAAGAAATTAACATAGCTAGTATTGCATTTGCAAAAAGATACTTATATTTCATTTTGAATGAAACTAAATATAAATGCCTTTTGCAAACACAATACTAGCTATATTAATTTCTTAAAGTAATTTCAAAGAAAAATATCTTGAATGAAATATTCTTAATTTATACTCCATAACAATGTAAGGAACTTTTGTTGTTATGAATGGTATTAGATGCTTTTATTAAAATAACAGATTTATAGAGTCATTTACTATTATTGAGATAAGAAAATAGAAATGAATATATGCTGTATTTTATTGTATTAATTCAATAACATATTATATAAATTATAAAATTAAAAGAAATCAATGAAAAGAAAAAATATATGTATTAGAAAATAAAATAAAATCAATTATTTACATATATAAGTTAGAAATAAAACGATATTTATCTTGATGATTAAAAGAGAAATTTTTAATCTTAGATATAAAAATTTTCAACATAATGAAACATAATTTTAATTAGTGTTTATTAAGAAAACTTATTCAAAAATTGACAATTTTTTCTTGGGTTTATAATTTATATTATGCATATGTTAAAATATAAATTTGAACTAAAGCATTCTTATGTTAAAAATAAGAATTTATTAAAATATGAAAAGCACTGAAATTTAATATGTTTTTCTATTTATTAAAATCTCTTAAAATTAAAGGAATTCTTTAAACCTTTAAACAAAACAAAACTTTAAATGATTATGCAAACATTTTTCATATGTGCATAATCATTAAGTTTTTGTTATGTCAATCTCTGTTAATTAATTTAAGCAATCTGGAAAAATCAAAAACAATCTAGAATGCAATAATTAGAGTAATCACCATTGATCACAATTTTCTTACATTAATCAAATTTCTTGCTCACATTAATGCTATTTTTAATTTTAATCTATATTTTAAAATTTTTGGTTGAAAACAAATATCTTGATCCACAGAGTCTTTTGTTGTAATTGTTTTTGAAATTTTGCTTGGAGAAGATTTTATTTAGGAAAAAAAAATATTAAACAAAAATACTGTTTTGTCTATTTATATTGTAATGCATCATTAAGTGTTGTAATTATTTCTCATCAGATTAAGTAATAGCAAATTACTTAATCTGATGAGAAAGAAAACCAAATTCTTTGTTTTTATTATAATTAATATTATTATTGGTATTTATTTTAATTTTGAGAAACCAAGGAATAATTGTATATTATGGAAATTAATAATTTCTGATCTAAACTTTAACTTTCATTTCTGTTTTCAGAAACTATAACTTAATAAGATGATTCAGCACTGTGCTAATGTAGTGATGAATCAGAATAAAACCACTGGAATCATAAATATATGTCTGCTATAATAATAAAGTACAAAAAGTTATCAAATATATTCACAGAAATTAAGCTATTCTTTGAGTATGGTATATCGTTAATATATGAGGGATTAATTGTATTGGGTTAAATCATCTAGCCATACACAATGAAGAATCACTATGTACTTCAGCAGTATTTATTCATATCTATTTTTTTATATTGCATTTTGACTCAATAATCCTCATCAGTGTATGTTAAGTTACACAATATATCAACACAGATACAAAGCTAAAACATTGATATTTTTGAGACATTGACCCATATCTAATGTCTCAAGTATGTCAGTGTTTTAATTTTATATTTATTATAACTTCATATTTCAGCAAAATTATAATATAAAATGACTTCTCATTCTGTATGACTAGACAATTGTAACTTAATGCAGTTAACCCATATTAACAATTAATAAAAAATTAAATGTTTTTCCTTAATGTTATCAAATAATATGCCATAATCATTTTACTAGAACTTAATATTTTAATATTCTACTTTGATGCCACAAATATAACAATTTGATTTGGCTTCATAACAAATTATTATATTTTATTTCAAGTGATACATCTTATATTTATAAAATGAAAATTTTAAAAATTATTAAAGAATTATCTTTAAGTTTATAATAAAATATTTTTTCAATAAAATGCTATTTAATTTAAGAATTTATTTTTTATTTGGCAAAGATTATTATTTTAATTTTAGCTTCATTTTCAGTTATTCATTTTATTGTTTTTAATTTGAAGAGATTTATCAGTTTTTAAAACACAATATATTACAATTGAGTCTGCTTAAAAGAGAGCAACCTTAGGATCATTATGTCATGCTTTCTTATTTGAAGCAACAACATAATCCAGAGAGTTGTTAATGGATATTCGATTCTCTCCAGTTACTCATATCTTAGAAGCTCTATATAACTTATAACACACTTGGAAATTTAATTGATTTGACACAAGGCAGTTTTTTACATGTTTTATTTATTCATTGGTTGATAAATAAATAAAAGAATGTAAAAAAACTGCTTTGTGTCTGATCAATTGTACTTCATCATACTGAAGAGAGACTTGGAAATGTTAAAATTGTTAACCACATAATTTCATTGTATTTGCATATTGGCTTTCAATATTGCTTATATTATCAATTGTATCACTTTATTGATTAATCAGTAAATACAATATGTGAAGTGAAAGTAAGATTACTTTCACTTCTTTCCTGAAGTTGGAGACCTAGATGAAAAGATGTGAACACTCTTGCTCCAAAATTTCTGAATACTTTTCTAATGGTACATAAAGTAACATTATTTTTGCAGTACTGTATTTATTTTTGATCAGATTTTCTTACAATAGTTATAAGTATGAATATGAACTACTTCTGCTATTGTAACTATTCATGCAATAAAAACCTAAATTAATTTACTTAAATAAGTCCATAATCTTCTTTTGGATATGTTTACTTGTAGCTTTTTTTTTTATCATTTCCTTGACCTTGTAAAATGCATTACAGTGAGTAAAAATTTATTCTAAATATTTTCTCACTATGCTTAAATAAAACAGTGCATCTTTATGAAAAACAGGTTTTGTTGATTCATGAGCAAATTGATTTTCATCTTGTTCAATCCTCCATCTTTTTCCACTCTTCTTTTTTAAAAATCATATTGCATATTTCAACAAATATTAACAAATACTGTAGTGTAAAGCTCTGTTGTCATGTTTCCTGGGCAGTGATGTACTATATGTTTAAAGATAGGCCTGTATAAATTGTCTTTAGAATAACGCTTCTTTATGCAGTCTGCTGCTCTAAAAAATTGCTGACACAATGTTTGTTTAAATGGATTGCTGTACAATCCAGTGTTCTGTTAAAATGAGTCTTAGTACATATAAAATGGGAGAAAAATGGAAGAATGCTCTCTCACTTTAAAGGAAATTTTACATAAGTTCTTATTGTAGATACAATTATTAGCTAATCAATTGATCCAACTTTGGCTTTAATAATTTTTGTTACTTTCTAAGGCAAAAAGTCATTTACATTTTGGCAAAAATAAATAAGGATTGTGTTAAGTCACACTTTAAGAATGGTTTTCTGCAGAATAACAACTGTATAAGACAATCACTGATTCCAGGTCACTAGACTAAGCATGTAGGAAAAACTTTAAATGACATTATATGAAAATCAGTGAAATTATAAATCTTAAAATAGTTTTGGACACCAGTATATTATTTGGTGAATTATATACAGTATTAATTTATAATTACATAAACATTTCAAANCTGTATTTAAATATAAAAATGAAAACAATCTTATGATCTATATAGAATTAGAAATAAAATTAAATGATCAAATTGTAGTTTATTGTTAGACATAAAATATATTCTGAGAGTTATATCAGTCTGTGTGCATTTAAAATGATCCATTGTTTATTAAAATGTGGCAGATATATAAGACAAATTATTATTAATCTATTTATTTAAATGCCCAATTCCTTATTATTGATAGGAAAGAATTAAATATTTCAAACATTGATATAGAAATCTTGTTCTGCTATTTAAAAATGATAAATTATTATATTTGTTTGAAAATACAGTTGTACCTTGACTTACAGGTGTCCCAACTTATCAGTTTTTCGAGATACAAGCCATCTTCAGATATTCCATCGCTAGTTGGTGCAGTGAACACCGTAGAAAACCATTAAGAAAAAAATGGAAACTGCTGTAATTTCATCAATTTCATTACTCTTATGTCTGTCAGGCTAGCATGTAGAAAAACACATGATCGAGTGATGTAGGCATTAGTTCACTTCCATGTTGTGTGTGGCACCATCATCTCTCATTTATCTAGTTTTCCATGTTTTCTTTCTTTATCTATGCAGTGTATGCTGCAACATCTGCAAAACCAGTTTATTTCAGTACATTCTATTGTGTTTTTTTTTTTTACAATATTCATTATTTATAAGTACATTTTTCTTATTTAAAAACATGTAACAAAAACATTGTGATATTTTGGGGGTCTGGAACAGATTAATGGCATTTCAATTCATTTCAATGGGGAAAATTGATTTGTCATATGAGTAATTTGAGTTGTGAGTTCTGTTACAGCTACTGGAATGACTCCATATGATATTGCTTGTACTTTACAGCTATTAAGTATGATAGAGAAGAATGATGAGGGAAAGTAAGTAGTTCATTACATATAGTATTATTTTTCTTAATACAATCTAATGTACTTTTTATGAAATATACTTAAAAAATAATAATTAAATCAAAGCAATAAACTCAATTAAAAAATATGGAAAACATTTAAATCTGAAAATTTAAATTACTCATTAGCACTTTATATGAGTAATACTCTACATGAGTAAATGAGCACTTTACTCATATAGAGTATCATTTAAAAATACATTTGTAATTTAAAATATGTGATTTGGTTTAAAATATTTAATGAAATGAGAAAATATTAAAGAAAAGTTAAATCTTCTTGTTTCATTGTTTCATTATAAATGCCTGATGACGATACTGTAGTGTTATAAAAAGTACTAGCAAAGAATATATTTATTTAACAAATTTAAGTTAGTTTTCTTATATTTAAAAATTGAAACCATAAGACAGTTCTGTAATATGCATATGATGAACTTAGAAATCTTCAAAATGCAGTTTGGAAAAAAAAAACACAAACATTATAATAGATCTAACAGTTCACATTTGTATATCTATTAAATCTCACATTATAATAATATAATTAGTGAAAATGTAAAAATCTTGCAAAGTTTCAAGTAAATATTTTAAAAATTTATTTATTATAAGAATTTGTTTTATTTATTATTGATTCAATAGTTTATATATGTGTTATGAAATTGATAATAATGGACAATAATTACATATAAAATCAAGTTCAGTGTTTAGTAATAATCATATGATATTGCCAGATGTTTATTAAGACTATATTATATCTAATTAATTATAAGAAAATATCATAATTTGAATTAAAATTAGATGGTCAAGCTGCCATCTTCTATAAAATTTTAATTTCTGTTTATTTCTATTATAGCTGAAAGAAAAATCTGGCTTATCATATGATTATAATTAACAATAGAATAATTTTTAAAAAGTGATACTATTGTTAATTATTCTTTAAAGCTGAGTATACATTTTATACAAATGAAAAAGAATACTTTTGTAATAAAATAATTCATTCCAAAAGGTTATCTGTATGCATACAATTATAATTGTATATCTGAATTTATCTGTGATTGATCTTAATACATGTTTGTTTAATTGTTAATTGCAAATTATTATGCAATGTAATTTTATCGTCTAAAAATATTTAAACAAATATTTGATAGTTTTCTGTAAACTGTTCTAATTATGATATAGCATACTTGCAAATCTTAGATTATAGATGAGGTTAACTTCATAACTAGGAATGGCTGATTTTTATGCAAAAGTTGAGAAATAAAAAAGAAAGCAATTTGTAGAAAGATTGTCAACAAAACTTGTGCCAGTTTTAAGCATTTATTCAATCTTTATTCTCTTTATCACAGTAATAGGTTTTTCTTACTAGACAGATTACTAGTAGTAAAAATTAGAATACAGAATAATAGTACATTCTATATTATTATATATAAAAAGATGCAGATAAATTTTAACAAAAGACACTAAACAGGTAATCAAAAATACCAAATTTGGTGCCCTGGATTGACAACATAAGGTATACTATTGTCAACATGGCAGTAGCATTGAGAAAACTGTTTCTCACATTTTCAGATCAGCTTTCTCATATCAAAGATCTTATATATCTACCACATTTTGAGGCAAAAATTTCATATGTGGAAATTTTTTGCATAATTTAATAAGAAATTAAAGCCTACATTGAAATTCTTGTATGTGTAAGAGAATTATAGAAAATCTGGTAATGTTGAACTCAAAGAAAATATTAATGTTGGAGAATGGACAGTTTCTAAAATAACTGCCATACAAACAAATTGGGATTTCTAGTATTGGTCAAATATCTATGTTTGTGAAGACAATGCAGTAAAATTGTTATGTTATCTCAAAAAGACAGAATTTCTACCTCAGCTGAGAACTGCTTTCAGAGGCAGATTCTCAACTCAAAAGATGGAAGATTGGTAACTATATTATAGATAATAAAATTGAATAATTTACATAACTCTGTCATATGAGTTAATCATATCCATTAATTATTAAGGATTTCCATAATGGAGGGACATTTTAAATTTTAATTTTAAAGAATAGATGTTTGTTAAATTAATTATTATTTGTTGTTTTGAAATTTTTTTGATTGTAAAAAGTTACAATTACTTGAATCTGTTAATGAATGAATGGTTCTCTTTATAAAAGTACTGTTCTGATTTCAAATAAAATAATAAGAAAAGTTAAGCAATATTGTTATGTTTACTATAAAAATAAAAAATAGGGCATTGAAAATCTTTACATTAAAAACTTTTGTAATAAGTATTATATACAGTTTTATGAAAATTTTAGTTAGTTATACATTTTCCACAAGACCAAAATTGTTGATTTGTTATTTAATTTGATGCATTTAAAAAATACTTAAAATATTGTAAAGAATAATACTTAGTAAATATTAAAACGATTATTTTAATTTATATTTAATAATGGAATGCAGTTAAATTATTTTTAATGTTATGATTACAGCTTTTTTTACATTTTTATATAAATATAGTACATAATCAAAGCTTTAAGAAGAATGTACAGTAAATATCTTTAAAAATATATAATATACAAATATTTATAAATGAAAAGAATTCATGTATTTCCTTATTTTATAATATTAATATACTGTATGTTTTAAAAATATTCAAGAGTAAAATATGGTCAAGTTGTTGTTTATTCTTACATCATATTTTAACATTAAAAAGATAAACTTAAACAACTAACTAAAATAATATTTATGTCTAATTTGTTTCTTAAAGTACTTTTTTAATTTAAATTTTATAATATTACCAACTAATAATTTTGGTTAATGATAGTAATGATTTTAGGGAAATTATTATTATTGTAAATAGATCAGTTATTAATTTAACAATAGATTTATTGACAAAAGTCAGATTGATTTTATAAGCAAAGATAAGTAAACTTTTTCATTCTGACTTGTTAAATTTCAATATTCATTCAAACAATATTTATTTGAGTAGCTATAATCAATGACTAGTTGTATACAATTANGTTTTATGAAAATTTTAGTTAGTTATACATTTTCCACAAGACCAAAATTGTTGATTTGTTATTTAATTTGATGCATTTAAAAAATACTTAAAATATTGTAAAGAATAATACTTAGTAAATATTAAAACGATTATTTTAATTTATATTTAATAATGGAATGCAGTTAAATTATTTTTAATGTTATGATTACAGCTTTTTTTACATTTTTATATAAATATAGTACATAATCAAAGCTTTAAGAAGAATGTACAGTAAATATCTTTAAAAATATATAATATACAAATATTTATAAATGAAAAGAATTCATGTATTTCCTTATTTTATAATATTAATATACTGTATGTTTTAAAAATATTCAAGAGTAAAATATGGTCAAGTTGTTGTTTATTCTTACATCATATTTTAACATTAAAAAGATAAACTTAAACAACTAACTAAAATAATATTTATGTCTAATTTGTTTCTTAAAGTACTTTTTTAATTTAAATTTTATAATATTACCAACTAATAATTTTGGTTAATGATAGTAATGATTTTAGGGAAATTATTATTATTGTAAATAGATCAGTTATTAATTTAACAATAGATTTATTGACAAAAGTCAGATTGATTTTATAAGCAAAGATAAGTAAACTTTTTCATTCTGACTTGTTAAATTTCAATATTCATTCAAACAATATTTATTTGAGTAGCTATAATCAATGACTAGTTGTATACAATTAGACATTCATTGAGTAAAAGAATATTAAATTACAAGAATTGAAAATATTTTGAAGTTTAAAAAAATAAAAATAAATCATTTCTGAAAATTTACTGTTAGGATAGAAAGTGCTTTTCTATAAAAAATACATAATGATTCAAGACACACTGAGCATTCAAAATTATATTTATTAAACATAACCTGCATTATAAATGAACATGTGAATGAGTTACTGATTGATACAGGTAATATTTAATCATTAAGAAATTATTAATTAATCTATCATTGGTGATTGATTAATGTAACTGTAGGAGATCAATTATAAATCTAAATTGCTGAATTATTTTTACACTATATTTCAAGCTAATTATTTAATTGCTTTAAAATATACCCAAAAATAATCCATCATTTTAGGTGTATTGTTGGCTATAGAATCAGTTTTTTTTTTTTTGAAGTAATTTATTAAATATGTCACTTAATGAATTAAATTATTAACAGACTAGTTATATTTTTCAATAGAAAGGATACTGCAGAATTGTGTTTAGTTTTGAAGGTAATTTAAAAATATAAAAAAATGAACTGAAAATTAATATTAATAAACAAAGTGTATAAAATTTTATCTAATGCATTATCAGTATTAAAATTTTAAAATAGAAAAGTGAATATAATGTAGATTCTTTCCTAATTTAAGTAGAAATTACTATTCATATTGTACAATAGATAATTTTGGGTAACAATTCTGATTATTTTATAGTATTTGAGATATAACTCAAATGCTATAAATTTTTAATTTGATGCTTGTAAAATCAATATCATAATATTATGGAATTCGTTTGTTTTGCAAATTTTGAATTGTTTCTATTATTCTATTATCAATGCAATTAATTATTTCTATTATTTCTTGTTTAAACTGTTTAAAATTATACCTACCAATTTTTATAATGGTGTTTCCATCTTAGTTTTATATATTTATTAAACTTATCTTTCTTATTTAATTGCTATTTTTGCATATTGATTGCAGTATTAATTCTTATCTTAAACAAAAAAAATCTTCAAATCTGATAGATTAAAACTGTATCAGCTGGCTTTAAACAGATTTTTAATTATATTGGAAGTATTTATCAAAAGTTCACAAACAAATATTTTACCATCTGCACAATTTCTTTTTATTTCTCACTAGTATTCCCAATCGCAGCCTTTCCCACTCTTATATACGTATAGAACTTAGAAAATTTGAACTAATTGTTCATTAATTGCTCATTAATTAT